AGTTCATTTATATTTTTAGCCACTAGTTTGTTTTTTACTTTATACATTACAGGGTTCTGCTGGGAAAATATTGAACTAAGTGATATGATGGAGAATGGTCATTCAGAGCTTTATATGTGGAGCAAACAGACACCACAGAAATACAATGGAGATCCCATACAGGCCGGTGGTTAAATAAGATACTAAGAAAACTGATTTTTCTTTTTAGTAAAGGCTTAAAAACCGCAACCTTAACCTCACGTGTTACGATAAGATCCACAATTGTAAAGGTAATCAAAAGGGAACCTTTCTGGTAAAGTCTGGGTGGGATTTGGTCTAAAACACAGGTCCAAGAAGCTTCTGTTGTTAGCTCTGACCGATCCACCAAACAGAAACTAGACTGGAAATCCGGTTGTAGAGTTACTTTTAAAGTTGCTGTGCATGGTAAAAGCTGAACGATAATACTGGGAACGACTTTGTGTATTTACTCTCTGACAGAAACAATTTTGTGGGTTGTGGGAAGCTAATAAAATCCTCCAGATTGAGCTGTACAGGAAGTGCTCTGACTCTAAGAGCTAAAACTATACCTGGGATTAGGTTTATTCTCTTCTGTCAGTGAGGAACAATGACCACTTCTAGCTTCCTTGTATATTTTTCGAGACAAATTGAGATTGTTACAAAAAGGAAGAGCACCATATTTTTTAAACCTTCTTATAGTCTACTTTAATTAAAGCCAGTTCTTCTGACTGACTGCCTTATTTTCAGAGGGCAGCATTGATTTTCTGATGGACACACACTGTAAGTAAAGGTAAATAAATGTATTCTCAGATAAGATATACTGTTAATTATTCATTCTTATTGATAAAAGCCAACCCAAGATCAGGATTATGACTCAGAGAGTGTTTTAGGACTGTGTCCGTGCTGAAAAAAGGACTTGGTATAACGTCAAATCCAAGTTGTTTAAATTAAAATGATATTTTCAACATCTTCATAAATGTTAAAATCTTCCACATCAGCACTAAATGAGTCAAATTGCGAGAATTCCGACAGAAACTCAGAATAAGAACCAGGTGGACGATACAAAAGGACAAACAAAGAGAAAAAGGGAAGAGAAAGAAAGAAACTCCTCCTAGTGTGAGGTCATTACGGACGATAGGCCCAGAGAGGTGTTGGACGTCCAGGGGGCCTGAATCACCATCTGTGAGTCCAGAGCCACACCCTGCTCGACCTGGGGGGGGGGGGGGGGGGGGGCCGGGACCAGGGCCAGGAGCACCACACAGAGCAGAAACCTGCAATTACACCAACAGCGGAAGTAGCTACCTCTGCCCGTACACAAATCTCATCTCTATGAGAAGAAGATCAGATTTCCCCCTCGCTTTTGTCAGACTCCAAGTATTCGGTTCCTATTTCTTTTGTGTGTGGAGCATGTGGACAAATCTCCAGTCTCTGCAGCCGGGGTTGAGTCAGACTATTCCCACAAGGCACAAAAGAACCCGGCTAATGAGATTCCACGGGATGGCAGCAAAAAAAAAGCTGTCGACAAACATTTATATTTGGATGGATTGAGTTTTAAGGAGGCTCTCTTCCCCCCCCCCCCGTTTTCTGGTCCCATTCAGGCGGGTCAGCGGGCTCCTCCCTGTTGTTTTGTGCAGGTCGGCTCACATTGCTCCATCATTGTGTGGCGCAGAACTCAGGCCCGGTGAGGTGAGCGGCTCTGACCCCGAGCAAATACACTCCGAAATCCTGAGCAATGGAAAAGATTTAGTCAGAGGTTTCAAAGTATGACCACAAAACAAAATGGCCACAGAAATTGTCCCAAAAAAAAGTATAACTCCTGTAAAAACTCAGATATATTTATAAAAATATATCTTATATTTATAAAATATATATATATATATATATATATATATATATATGTCCTGCTGGAACCCAACTAATTATATAAAGATATATATATATATGCACATGTGTAAAGAGAGAGAGAGAGATGGGTATAAAGAAATCAGAGTTTTTACAAGAGTTTTCTTTTTGACAATTCTTGTGGCCATTTTTTGTGTATAAACTATTAAATATAAAGAAATGATACAAACAGAAAAGCCTTTATAACTTGTTTTTTTTTATTTCATAAAGAGAAAACAAGTTCTAACTTTGGAGCCTCTCCATTGAAAAGGACAAAACGGACTGTTTTTGACAATGATTAAGACTTAAACCTAAAGTACCCTTAACCACTCGGACCCCCTGAGGCCCCTGTGACTGGGACGGTCCCAGAACCCCCCTTTACCCCCCCCCCCCCCTCCACCCTCTGTCTTACAATCTCCAGCTTGTGCCATCAGACACTGTTTCTTTGTCTACTTGTGAGTGTCGGGACAGTCTGAAACCAGCCACGACAACGTTTAAAACCGCCACAGAAGCTTCTTCATTTCCCAGAATGCTTTCAAATATGCGTTTCACTCAGAGGACTTGTTTAAAGAAAGGGTGTTTATCACCAGGGCTGGTGGGTGGGCAGGAATCTGCTTCTGCCCTGTACTTTGTCATAATGCGTTTGTTTAAAGACTTCCAACCAGCTTGACCAATTGCTGCCCTGTGCCTAGGCCTAGGCCCTAGGCAGTCCTAGGTGATCCGAATCTAGGCAGTCCCCGCTGGGATTTCTGCCATTGTCACTCTTGAGTCATTTGGGTCCCCATTCGAAGAGCTTCTCCTCCCCACAGCTACTGAGCAGGGGAGCTTGTTCAGTCTTTGAACATTTGTTGTGACTTGGTGCTGTTTAGATAAGATTTAGTATCATTGACCTGAATTGTGGTCTCTCTCTTCTCTGTGACCACAGGCCTTAAATCAGCCTGATAGAACCAGACCTTTTGATTGTGGAGAGACACATTTCAGGCTCCCCAAAGGTGGCTTTGATAGCTGGCATGCTACTTTCCAATAAAAATGTCCCATAAGCCTATGGAGCCCTGGGATGTAGATATGTGTGTGTATATGTGCATGTATGTATATATATAATATAACTGATGATGTCCAAGTGTTGTATTATTGACATGTAATGTCCCCTGTTGTCCCCCCTTTTTTTAATTTTTAATTTAATTTAATTTAATTTTATTTAATTTTATTTATTTTATTTATTTTATTTATTTTATTTATTTTATCTATTTTATTTATTTTATTTATTTATTTTTTCTTTTTCTGTTGATTGTGGGTGGGTGGGGTTTGGTTGTTAAAAGATAAAACAAATTCAATTCATGTTACTGTATTTTTATGTACCTTACTTTGTACTTTTTTTTAATAAAAATATATATATTAAAAAAAAAAATGTCCTATTTGGAACCCAACTACTTTTATAAACTGAACTAAAGTTCATCAATGTTTTTCTAGGATTCCTCAGGAGAAAAAAAACACCTTAATTTATGAGGAGGAAAGTCACTCAAAATATATAGAAAATGAAATCAAGGTAATTAAAAACCAACAAAAGGAAAAGTTTATTGTCAAATGTACCCATCGATTTTAACCTCTGCTGGAAACTGTACACTGACAAATGGGGTTTGGTCATATCTATAACTAGAAAATGGAATAAAATCAAAACATATGTTAATCACGACAGCACAATGAGAGTTTATCTCATATGAAAACTGAAAAGCCCCATTCTTTGGATCTTTCGCCTTGGCCTTCTGGGTGAGATTGGCCCTGGGGCTCTCTGGATAACAGTTAGAAGCAGGCATCCCATAATACCCAACGGAGCCCACATGCTCCTGCTGATAACTGGTTCTCTTAGGTCTGCTCCAGTTTCCCTAAAGGATTTGCCTTGCAAATGTGGGCTGATGCACCTGTTTCAACGCTCCCTCCCGTGGGGCACCTCTTACGTCATGAACAAGATCCCATGTGTTGTGACCCCCCCAACCCAACCCACACCAGCCCAGACACATCCACGGCACCACCAAAACCTGAAAGACGGGTTTTTAATGGGGTGGGAGGCACACATTTCTCGTTTTTCCATTGTATCTCCATCTCCCCTTTAGGATATTTACATCTGGAACAGAGTGATCCAGAGGAGGTAGAGAGAGAAAAAAAAAGGCGGCTGCCACTTAACTGATCATCAATATTCAATATCAGTGAGAGCACTTTCAGCTTGTACTGAGCTTTTGTCACGCCATTGTTGCTCGTACCTTAAATCATGACACTTTACAAATGAAAGATATTGGGTACTGTATGTAAAAAAAACAACAAAAAAACATGGAACATATTCTATACTATTTGTAAATTACTATTATGTTTTTATTCCACAATAAATAAATAAATAAAAATAAAAAAATAAAAAAATCATGACACTTTGCCAAATAAAATCTTTGTAAAAGACCCCAAAAAAAGAAAAAAAAGTGGGCCAGAAAAGTTTGCTGAACACAATATAAACAAAGGAGCTCAAACTATCCTTCAACCCGAATTGTAAATAAAACAAAAACACCACAAGTGAGCAAAGAAAAGCTGCTAGTTGAATTCCTGATCCAACTTGAGACACTTCTGCTTGAAACACACACGTTTTTTTGTTTCTTGGAGAAGTTCGGGTCTTGTTTCTTGTGTACATTGAACGCGGCACTACCGTCTATTGTTGGAGGCTTTATCTAAGCCACGCCCCCCAGAGCCAGCGGCCGCTGTGATTGGCTGGATCCCTGCGCGCTGCCGTCATCGTGCGGAGCGCCCATTCATCTCCGCGCTGGGGCGTTGGACTCCGCATCTTATTAACAACGGGGGGAATTTCTCCATTTTGCAGCCCGTCTCCCACCAACCGGCCGCCGACCGGGACTTTTAGCACCTTTCCTCCGCTGCCAGCTCTCCGCCGCAGCCCCGAAACCCGAACCCAGACCTCCACCGGACTTTAGTCCACCATTTCCCATTGAACTTTTTTCTTTGTTCAGACAGAGCGGAGGGGGGGCCCCCGTGAGCCGAAAGCTCTGCTTTAAACAAAGAGGCTTGTTGGTCTTTGTTCGGTTTTTTTCTGGGGCCGGTTGGGGTTCTTTGTTGGAGACAGAAGCATGGGAGCGCACTTATCCAAGACAACTGGGAGGGCTGAGATAGCGGCCGAGAAACCCGGAGAGGCGGCCGCCTCCCCGGCCAAGAGCAACGGACAGGTAAAGCCGCCTTTGGGGCGCATCTGTTTCCATCCATCAGGGCGGAAAGTGAGCGGGGAGAGGGGGGGGGGGATCCACTCTAAGAGCAGAGGAGGATGGCCCGAACCAGGCCGAACCAATGTGGGGTAGATTTGGGTTTTCCCGAGCAACAGTTGCGAGCTCCATTGTGCAAATTGCTTCAATTAGGCAGCTGTGCGCGCGCGGATGCGTCCGGCGACACGAGCTCTGGTCCGCGGAGGGGCGAAAGGTGGCTTTAGAACGGGATTTTAAAGATGAGATCGAAGCGACGGAGGGAGGATTTGTGTTTGTGGACTATCTGAAGCTGGAGTTAGAAGATTTCAGCTCGGAATTGAAACGAGATGAGCTGAGAGCCGCACGCGCCTTAGCCGTTAGACGGAGCGCGAGCTGTGGAGATGAAAGCCTGCCGTCACAGGTTGCAGGGCCGGTCCGTGGTTTTTTTTTTCTATCGGGGTGGTGGGTCAGAACCGTCCCTGGGGGGTGGTGGTGGGTAGGGGTGTAGGGGGGGTTGTGATAGTTACTACTGGCTGTTGCTGCCCCTGCTGTCCGCCGGCGGAAATGTCCGTGCGCGCGCGCTCCGTCTGCCTCTGACGAGTCTCTGTTCCTCTTGTTTGAATTTTCCAGGAGAACGGGCACGTGAAAGCGAACGGAGACGCCTCCCCCGCGGCCACCGGGAACGGCAAAGAGGAGCCGCAGGCCAACGGCACCGCCGCGGCCGAGGGGAGCCCCGAGGCCGGGCAGGGGGAGAAGGAGGCGGCCAACGGGGAGCCGGTAGAGGCTTCCCCGGCCCCGCCTGAGGCCGAGGCCGCGGACAAGCCCGAGGAGGCCCCGGCGCCCTCCGCCAGCACCGAGACGCCCAAGAAGAAGAAGAAGAAGTTCTCCTTCAAGAAGTCTTTCAAACTGAGTGGAATTTCGTTCAAGAAGACCAAGAAGGAGACGGGCGACGGCGTGGAGGAGAAGGAGGAGGCGGGGGCTTCCACAGAGCAGGAAAAGGCCGAGGGCTCGGAGGAACCCGCGGCCCCCGGAGAGGAGGCCAAGCCTGGGGAGGGGGAGGCCAAGGAGGAGGTAGAGGCCAAGGAGGAGGTAGAGGCCAAGGAGGAGCAGGCAGCAGGGCCCCCGACATCTGAGAAGCCCCCGGAGGAGGTCGCAGTCAAAGAGGAGCCCAAGGTGGAGGAGAAGCTGGCTGCTCCCTCAGAGGAGGCGCCCAAGAAAGAGGAGCCTTCACCGGAGGCCCCCGCATCCGTGGAGGCCCCGGTTTCTGTGGAGACCCCGGTTTCCGTGGAGACCCCAGCTTCTGTGGAGGCCCCAGCTTCTGTAGAGGCCCCCGCATCCGTGGAGGCCCCGGCCGAGTGAGAGGTGGACGTGGAGGAAATGAGAGATAATCAACGGACTTTTCCATGTTTGTATGTGGAGTCATGTCAGCGGCTGGCTTTGAACTCGTCTACAAGCTGGGGATCTTTCGAAGCTTTCTCTTGTGTTTTTGATTTCTGGTTTCCATCTCCCCCCCCTTTTCACAAAACCCATCTCAGTCCTCCGAATGTGCCGTTCCAGGACTGGGGGCGCCGGGTGGCTTTAACCCCATTTAATACGTTCACACTCTGCTGTGTGTTTTGACATCAGTATTTTTTATTATTTTTATACAAAATATAAAGAAAGTAGCATGGACGAGCCCGAGATATGCAGTGTTTTTGTGGGTAGGGGGCAGTTGGCAAATGTGCCGCCGACTCTTTTGGCAACAGAAAAACTGAGGCCAGTATCTGATTGGTTTACAGTCATTTTTACAAGACGAATCCCAGAGCTAGATTTTTAGAAAATCAGATTTCCAGCCGTCAGTAGCTTTACCAGTCGGTGATTCAGTAGAAGGGTACAGGTTGTATAGGCTATACTGTTTGTTTTTTTGGTTTTCTGACCTTAATAAAAATGTAAGTATGTATAGGCAGGGTGTTTTTTTAACTGTGACTATTGTATAAAAGGAATTCTTGATCTGGAGAAGCACATCATTTTGTAAAATACCACCAGAGGCAGACACACACGGACAGAAACCATAGTCCCACAGATCCTCCTCACTTCTGTTGACCTGGAAAAACAAGCTGTGATACCTGAGATAGGGAACCGTTTCTATACTGTTGTATGTTTTGTTCTGATCTCCAACAGCCATTTACCCCCCCCAGTGGTCCCAGATCCAACTGAACTTTATCAGATGCTAATTTTTGTGGCGCATCTCGTCTCTTTTTCATTCCCTCGTTTGTAAATACTGGAGAAGCTTTGATCAATTTGACGGAATCTCCAACGCCTCCAGAAACAGTGGCTTTTAAACTCCTATGCTCGACGTGTTCGGTTTTTTTCTGTGAGCGCACCGAAAGCGAAAAAAGTGAAATAAAGAAATGTGAATAACGTTTGAGCTCTTTACTGTTTTTTGTGTGGCACCGGTTCAGAGTCCTAACTCGGTTCCTGGGAAAAGCCTCCAGGCTTTGATAGGTCTGAACATTTACAGAGTCATGTGACAGCCGACCGTCTCACATCTTCCTTTTATGCTAGTACTCTAAAAGAGGACAGAGAGCATTTCTACCAAATCAGCTATTTGATTTGATTCAGAAGGCTCATATTTGTATAGAAATGTTTAGAAGAACATTGAAACAGTCTCTTTTGCCCTGATCTGTGAGGCTCCTCTGAGCACCTCCAGCCAGAACCCCAGCGGGTCCTCGTGCTCCCAGTGGGAGCGGCTAAAGGCTTTCCCTGGACCTGCTTTTAGGCGCAAAGAGCATGTGAAGAAATGGCAAAAGGGACGAGGTATGGAGACCCCGCTGGAACTGTCACAGCTTCCTGTTCTGTTGTCGTTTAGTCCCAAACATGGCTCCACCATAAGAGCTTCCAGAATGGGGAAGTTGAGGAACAGAACTCCAGGATGGTTTTTGTTCCCTCCACTGAGGCTCCATGTTCGTCTGATCGATCTGATGTGATTCAACTGACCCTGGTGGCTAATGTTAGAGCATGTGAAGGCCAGAAGAAAGCCCAGGTGTCAGAACGGGTCACAGCAAAAGTTCCGGTCCCGGCCTGGTTGAGTTCAGGGCACCACCAAGTGGCTGGAGCTTTCCATCACAGCTCTGAGGGGTTCAAACCAAACGCATAACTCATGGAAAGAGTATAAAAAGTTTTATTGGTAAATGCAAAATATCAAAATTCTTCTATGGATTCACTCACAATCTCCTATAACAAATCAGGTCATGTTTCCTTCAGAAGATTCAGCACATTGGAAACATTGGTTTAAAAAGATCAAAGGATGTAACGTAGAAAAAACTAATCAAGTAGCAGGTGCTGACAGGGCACAATTCACAGATTTACAGGTAGAAAATGGAGACTCATAATAAATAGAATAATGGGGAGAGCATCTCAGAGGAGGGCCGGATCCTTCCGGAAAACGGCATCTTCTGGCTGCCCGTGTGGCCTTCAGGCGCTGCTGCTCTGCTCCGTCTTTACAGTACTGGTGGAAACCAAAAGCAGTTAAGTGTTAAATGGTAGCCATCGTTAGGCTCCTCATACCCAGGGCAGGTTAGAGTTTAGAGTCATTTGGAGCAGGACCCAAGATGAGGGAGGAAAAGAGGGAAGAGGAGAGCGAGTAAAAGCGCATCATCAGACAGGACTGGTGGTCTAAAGCAGTGTTTTTCAACCCCTGGTCCTCGGTACACCAGTGTGCCGTGAGTGATGGTCAGGTGTGCCGTAGAAAATAATCCTATTTCACCTAATTGGTGTAAAAAGATTAATTTTCTGCAAATAATGTGCCATTTTTGAGTGTGTGTGCTGTTCTAGTGACTGGTGGAGTAATCATGTAATAATTCCTTATGATTTTGTATATAATTTTGTATATTGAAGTGGACATGTTAAGTGCAATTTGAAAGAAGAAATACAAAATATGATAAAAATACATTTTTGTGTTTATTTGATTCCTATTCAAGACACTTAAGATAAGATAAGAATAACTATAGTGTTACTATAGGCTACAGATTTGTTAAAAAAATTTTGTTGGTGGTGTGCCTCGTGATTATTTCAATGAAAAAATGTACCTTGGCTCAAAAAAGGTTGAAAAACACTTGTCTAAAGACACTCAGAAACAGAACTAACCTCTTTAAGTCCGTCTTCTCAGAGCTGCTGTCCTTCGTCTTTTCCTCTTCTTTTATTTCTGGGGTAGTAGGGGAAGAACAACCTTGTAAAATGAAATAGTTTCATCTCAAAGCCCTTCAGCTCGGATGCAGATCCAAAGTTACCGACCAGCTTTCTTCTCCTCCTCCTCCTTCTGCTCTTCTTCCACCTTTGGCCGTTTGGCCCCCTTCTTGTGACTGGCCGAGTTTCTGCGGCCTCCCTCCCCCTCGTCCTCAGAGTCGGAGAACTCCTCTTCACAGGAAATCCTCTTGTCCGTGGCGCGGACTGAAATCACAAAACAGTCTGGTGGTGATGGACATTCAGTGGTCCAAAAGGCCAGTTCTGTGGTTCTACATCAGGGACCGGACCCAGAGGTCCAGGAGGGTCCAGGAGAAGTTCAAAAGCAACATCTCACAGTTCTTCTCTGGTGATTATTATTATGAATTTATTTAATTTAATATTAAAAAAATAAAATAAAATCACTGTAATTATCTCAATTTTAGCTACTTTAAGTTTTTTTAGTTTAAATTTCCCCACTGGTGATGAATAAAGTTGTTCTTAATTGCATCTCATGTAAATGTTTTTCATGAGCATATATTTACTTTTTATTACTCATGGATGCCTTCTTATGAATTATCTAAATGTATTTTTATTATTTCAATGTGGGCATGAACAAAGTTTCTTTAAACTTTAAGGAAGCGAAACTCAATTCATCCCCCCCAAAAAAAATATATATATGTTGTTCAACGTATTTTTAAGCAATCATTTCTAGTTTTATTGTGAACAGGTTTTACTGTTGCAGCTAAAGAGATTTGAACCGGTTTGAACATAATCTTATGAAAACGAGCGGCCGTGTTCTCTGTGAATAGAAAAACAAAATGGTCAACATAGTCGGACTCAGAGGCTCCAGAGCTGCCCCCCTTTGTCCCCCCCCCCCCCTCTTTACAGAGGACAGAAACCGTGTTTTCTCTTATTCATCTCTGGAAAACCCAATGACCCATCAGGCAGCCGTAGATGACCGGACTCCAGACTGGACTGGAAGTCTTAGGCCTGCAGACTGAACCGAGGGTGGACGGTCCCCCGTGGTGGTCTCTTTGTTTGGTGTTCAACAGTCCAGGCAGCAGTTTTAAAAGCACTGACCGGTCAGGAAATACCTGAACCTTGGGGGGGTTCTTTAGGTAGTGATGGTAAGATGAAGCTTCATAAAACTGAAGCGTTCCACTTGTGTGTTGAAGCTTCAGGGGGCTTCATTTGCTTTGTTGCGCCATCTAGTGGTCAGTAAATATAAACGTACAGTGGGATTCTAATGGGACTCTGGCTTTGGGGTCTGAAACATTATTGAACTAATCAATGATGTTTGTGATGCTACTGTCCAGGGTGACCCCGCCTCTACCCCATTGGCTACTGGGATAGCTCCAGCCCCCCCGCAACCCCATTATGGGATCAGTGTTTACCTTAATGGACAGATGGATTTTTGTGATGCTTATACTTTAATTATAAACTTTTATATGGTGTCTGTAGATTGCATTTAATGTAATCTAAGTTGTTGTTCTTATTTCTTGTGTAATTTGTGTTGTAAAATTACGAGGTTAGATGAATATTTCTTTATGTTTGAACAAAGCGTTTTATTTTGAAGGGCTCTCGAGAGACCTCGGGACTGTCGAGGAACGTTGAAAAAACGTTGGAATAAAAACGGTCGATATATTAAAGTCTCAAAAAGGTTATTTAAAGGTATTAGCTCCTGGGTAAAAGGGCACAAGGTTTGTATTGTTTTTTGTATTATATTGTGTCCGGTTTTATTAAGTTTTATTAATGTTTTAAATAAGTAAAGTGTGTTTGCGGTATCGAGTGTTAATATTTTTCCGATTTATTTTTATTTAAGATAACACGGTAATTTGTCTGTAAAGTTTAAAAGACTGTGTATTGGAACGTAATTGTATTTTTGATTTTTCAATTTCTTTTAGCTCTTACGGTGAGTTCGTATGATACCGTTCGAATAAAAAGGATATGAACCATCAGTAAAAGAGTCCGAGCATCTATTAGCCGGGGACGCTACAGTGTCTGTCTTGAATAGATCGCTAACAAACTCGTAATTAAATCCCAAGTCCACAAAATGTGAGGGGGGGATTCATTGCATGTTGCTGGCCCTTTTGTTTCAAATAGACCGCCAAACCGTAAACCACTTCCTGAATCAGTCACCACATACGTAATCAACACCAGCCTCCACACGCGCCTCACAGCAATCATCCTGGTTTCTGGATACGTTTCGAAGCCTCGATAAGGAGGGACACTTCACTACCTAACGGTGTTCAAATAAGCACCTCACATTAACTAAATGCTTGCTGGGTAAACCAATGATCTCCTCTCCTACACCCGCCATGGCCATGGAAGATGGGCTGGTTTAGAGGGTGGACACTAACTAAATCAAGTAGGACTCTCTGCCAGTTGGAAGGTGGAGGTTTAACGCCTGGCTTCCCCGGGCCAGAGGGTAAAATGAGCCACACCCTGCCTACAGACGTACACCGGTCCGGTGCTGATTCTACAGCCTGACCCCCCCACCAGCAGACTGAAACCTGCAGGAGAGTATCGGGAAACGGGGGTTTTGGTTTGCGTGGTCTATTCCAACAGCAACAGTCGAGATAAGAGATGCAGATCAGAGCCGGAGGAGCTCAAAACTCTGGTTCCTGCCCTGTGTTCCTGCTCCTGTGAGGATGACACGTTTGCCGGTCAGTCTTACTGGACAGGCGCTTGTCGGGGTCCTCCGTGTCCTCGTCCAGCTTGTCGTCGGGGACGACGTCCTCTGGGATGGCCTGCATCTGGACCCCCGGGGCGTGGGGCAGCATCCGCAGGTTCTCAAACAGCCGCTGCCTGCCGGACCAGGTTAACACGGTTCATTACTGTTCTTACATGTGGAGGATTTCTCGTTCTGGTGTGGGCAGTTTTCAGTGTTTGGCTAAAAACTGTTTTTTAACTCATTGGCTGCCAAAGACGTCTATAGACGTCTTTTATGTTTTTCAATGCGAGTGGCTTTGGGGAACGATCTGCTAAAGTTTTTCCGTAAATATTGGCTTCCAGACAGAGTATGTAGTAACAAATTGACCCTCTAGGGGGCAGTGCCATTTTTGATAGGAGATGAGCATAGACTGTAGGCAAATAAAAACAAACGCAATGGTTCGCTATGAGAGAAATGTCGCCGGTGAGACGCACGTCGAAGAAGAACGGAATAAGGTAAAAACAAAATGTTTTTTCCCGATGAAAGAAGAGAGTCTACTCTTTCTTTTGGTGTGTTCGGTGTTTACATAGTCATAGCACAAACTATTCTGTGGCTTTTGAAAAATCAGTCAAAATGCTCAAAAAACTCTGGCAGTATGGGACTCTATTCTGAAAATGGCTGCCAGTCAATGAGTTAAAAAAGCCACAAAACTCGACTCTAAAACATGAAATTCTATTCATAGAATTGCCACCCAAACATGCATGAGGAGTTTGATTATCCCCATGACTTGAAATAGGTAAGCTAGCCTTTGACAGGATGGCCCCCTGGCAGACTGGACTCAGGGGAAGGGTCATGTCAACAACCACTTGCATGGTATCTGTGGGCTATCACCATGGTAACCAGAGGAGTCCCTGTGGGATGCCAGCAGTTGGAGAAGGAGGGAAATTCTGAAAGCGTGGCTTTCCCAGTTTAACCTGAAGCCATTGACAGGTAGTGAGTGGCTAAAAGGCTAAAAGTAGCTCTGGGAGCTACTGAAGCTAGAACTCAGGTTTAAGCCAAAGAGAAGAACTTTCAGTTGGCCTAAGGTCTTCTGGTTTGAAAACTTGGAAATAGGACATAGATGAAGACTTCAAGTAGCACTTTGAGGACCATTTTAATCCCGCTAGCATGTCCCCCATTGACAAGGCTAATGGGCATGGGGGAAAACTTGTTCATCACCTCTTTAGTGTACCAACAGGATCTGGGACCACTCGAGTGGTGGTTCTCTTTTTTAGAGAGAGCTTTTCAACTACAGTGGGGAATCCCACCACACCCGTTTATCAAAGGACATCTACTCCAGGGGTTTGGAGAGGAGGATTCAGGAGAAGAAGTTGGGTTTTCCCCAAGGTTGTGAACAATGGATCAGATCTTTACACTGGCAGACTTACTGAGAGGATGGTAGTCTGACCATTCAGTCTGTATCAGTTTTGTAGACTTTCAGGATTTGCAACCATGGCTGTCAATGGCTGTAGTTCTAACCCTCATTTATGGGCATGACATGAACCCGGCTACTTGTCTCAGCCTTAGAGACCATCTGAGGGAGCCCTAACGGGACTTTCCCACTAGCATCAACTTACGATGATGCAACTTGGATTTACGTCTTTATTTTGTTTTGGCTGGCGTTTCCAAACATGGACACTCTCAGCACCTTCTGGGCTTGGGTCCAAACGGGGCCAACAGCAGTAGTTGGCCAGTAAGTCATGACCGGATTAGTCATTAAGGCAAGTCTTTTATCCGAAGCTGTCCAGTATGGCAACAAAGGTCTTATTTCTTCTTTGTCGTCACCATTTTTTGCGTTTAAATAAAATATGTCAAGGGCCAGTCAGCCATCTTTCCGTTAGAACTTTGTGTGTGATGGAAAACTACCTAAACTGAGCCCTGTTGACACGAGTAGAACCAAGTATGGCCGATACTGCAGGTACTAATGGAACTGCTGCTTCTCTGCATCATGATTCATTTGGTTAGGAGGCTTTCTGGTCATCTTACAAGCATGTTTCATTAGGAGGAGGCCCAAGGGGCCACCCACAGGTCACTGTAGGGGTAATATCAGTTATAGTCCCACAGCACAGGGTCAGCACTCGCACTGGCCACTAGGGCAAAACTATTAAGGCAGAAGGTCTCCTGGTAAATCCAGTGAGTATGCTTACTTGATCTTGTCCAAGTATTCCTGTGTGTTCTGGTTGGTCATGTTGGACGGACTGATGTGCAGCTTGAAGTCAGGTCCGAAGTATTCAAAGTAGTCGTTATATGGCAGTTCTGAAACAGAAAGAAGTCGAGGGAGGATATTTATACTGTGAAAACAAGACTGACTTTTGTTAGGAATTATCTAAGGGCAGCTGAATTCAAAATTCATTATATAATTAATTAATCATCTGTACTGAAAAGCTGATGGTTTGGAATTCATTTATTCCAAAGTTATAGGAATTTCATCCACTCAACAGGTCAGAATGAGGAGAATTGATGCTGAATATCCCACATCCTATTATTTCATGCCCCTTTACTTCTTATAAACAAATTAGCTTGTGAACTAGGTGATATACTAATAAGGGTGGATTCCAGGTGAATCTGGTGCTTTATAATAGGGGTTTATACTCAGCTTTCAGAGCTCTGCTAACCATGACTGGGTTTAGGTAGTTTCCCATTAAAAATTAGATCTAACAGAAAGCCAGGCTGACTGGCCTGTGAAGTCATTTGTAGATGACAGAGATAGAGACGATAAAGGATATCATCACAGGAACTATTAAATCAGACGTTTGTTGTTAGAGGAGTCCCTTATAGAGTCATGTGACTTTCTAGCCAATCAGTGGCTGGCTATCTGCAGTTAGCAGTTTGGAACCCTAAGCTGGAACTGTTCGGAGTAGTGTTGTCAAAAGTATTGATACTAAAAAACGTATCCAGATACGATACTCATTTTCAAAAGTATCTATACCGCCCCCTGCCCCTCGCGATGCTGACCTGTTTACGCTGTGCCCCTTCTCTCTGATTTATTTATTTATCTACGTTGTTTATGATCATCAACGTGACGTTAGCCTTGAATTGCTAGCTGCGGCTAATGTCTAATAATAACACGCCAACATTAATGCGGGCCACCGGCCACCATAACATCAGTAACAGGTCATTTTGAAACAAAAGAAACTAACCTGTCGAAATTCAGTTACATTTCGGGGTCTTTCTTTTTATCTTTGTGGTATCGAAAATGGTATCAAGTATCGGATATTTTCCAGAATATCGGTATCCAGTTGAAAATTTTAGTATTGTGACAACCCCAGTTCGGAGGTACCAGAACCTAATACAAAAAGGTGTTGAGTAGTGTCGAGCTGAGATGAGTGGGTAGTAGCAGAAAGAAAGCTGACAGCAGGGACTAGATGAGGCCAGTGGGAGCTATCGCAAGGAGAAAACATTTGTGTAACACCAATCTTCCAACACTGAGGGTTCCCCACCTCCACCACCACAACACTACCTTCCTGACACCGTCTGCTCTTACTGGTCATTTCTACACAGTAATATCGTCTCCTACTAATCATTAAAAGCCCAAAACACGGAGCGGCAGACGAACCGTCTGGGATCTCTGTGTCCAGGGCCACGGCGGTCTCGTAGGTCCAGCAGCGGGCCACGTTCCGAATGGTGTACCCCCCCCCGCCGAGCATCAGCAGGGGCAGGTTGAAGGACTTCATGTACTCCACACATTTGGCGTGCCCTGGTAAAAGCACAAAGGAGAAAAACGCTCAGGTACCCGGACGTGTCTGAGAGCCGTGGTTTCTGGAGGATATCCTCACCTCGGATGGTGAGGTTAAAGCAGCCTAGCCGGTCCCCTGAAAGAGAGTCCGAGCCACACTGGAGAACCACGGCGCTGGGCTGGTACATCTCCATCACCTTCGCCATCACCTGCAGGACGACAAGAAGAATGTGGAAAAACAGAAAAATACCGAGCACATGCACCCGACATGAGGATCATTCTGGAAACTGACCGGAGTCCAGCTTGTTCTATGCATTGAAAAACAATATAAGATCATGATATAGCAAAATACCACCGTTTGTCAGTACCAAGGTTTTTAGAAAGCGTCTTAAACCAGCCATCTCAGCCCCAAAATATTTTAAAACCAGATAAATGCACTTCAGCCTGGTTGCTCTGAGTGTTGTGCCAGTAGTCAAATTACCCTCACCACCTCCCCGACCTCAGTAATGTTTCCTTTGGCATTTAAACATGAGTGATGAGTAAAAAAAACTGCGTTCCGTGGAACCTACTTGGATGGAAACCCTCTCCCATTTCTCTCTGAGACCATCAATGGGGGAATCTACAAGTAGAGCCGAGTTCCTTCATCCAAACCAGCCCAGTTTTATCATCAGGGAAGGTCCAACTTTTTACACATTTAAAAAGCACTTTAAACTGTTTCTCAAAAGTTCCCAGTCATGCAATCACTCATTTTAATTTTGTAATGTCATTGTCTGAACGTGTGTCTCTCTGTTTTAACTGATATTGTATTACATGATTTTGGGTTTTTTTGTCTTCCTGCCTCAGGACGACAGATGTAAACTAGCAACTATGCTACAATCTGGCTCATTTACAATCTGTATGAGATTGTTCATTAATGTGCACTGTCCTGATTACATAAAATAAGTTTCATAAATAAATAAAATAAGTTTCAAAGAAGTCCATCCACTAAAATGGCTGGTTAATTACACCAAGAACAGAACTCATGCTCTTCAACACCAAGTTTCTGCAGTCTGTGGTTTCTCTTTTACTTTATTTTTCACACTAATTAGACTTTTTTTTAAAAAGAAGCTGCCCAGTATGAGCAGCTGTGAGGCAGCGAGCTATCCAGATGTTGCCCCGGACAGTGGTTTGCAATAGTAGACATACCTTCTGAACTTTTCCATATTTTGTCACATTACAACAACGAATATAAATTAAATTCATTGTATGAATGATTGCTTTCAGAAGTTGATTGATGAATAATCGAATGATGACCTATTAACTCAAAAGAATCCCCCTGTGTTCAATCTAATCTAATGTAGTCCTATAAATACAATTTTGGGATGCAAACAGCATTATAAAGTCCATTGACCAGCATTATAAAGTTCTTGGAACAAACCAAGGCGCTGGGAGGGATTCAGGAACGTGTCGGTGCCTTTTATTTGAAAATCCAGCCAGAAATGTGCCAACGTGAGCCATTTTGAAACACGCTACTTTTCGGGGCGCCTCCATTTCAGGCTGATATTCAGCTGCCATAAGTAGTTCTGGTTCAAACTCACGGGCTTGAAGATCTGCTCGTAGGACTCATCATCTATGCCGTCCCTCAGTGGGAAGTTGACAGCGTAGTATTTGCCTTTTCCAGCTCCAATATCCTTAAAAACACCAAACACATGTGACCTAAGACATACAATTATGAGTACACGTAATGGATGTAGAAATGTATCATTTATTTTTTATACCTTCCATAAATAAGAGAATAAGAAAAGCATTGCACTGTTTTCTTAGGGATATAAAAAGCAGTTTTAAATACAAACTAATGATGGAGGCTCACCCTGAGGTCTCCAGTTCCTGGGAAGTACTCCCCATATTTATGAAAGGACACCGTCATGACCCTGTCGGTGGTATAAAACGCCTCCTCCACTCCGTCTCCATGGTGGATATCTATGTCAATGTACAGTACCCTCTGATGGTACCTGGAAAAAGGGGGCAAACAGAGCTTCCATGAGCCCAAATAATGCAGGGCATTCACTCTGGTACAATCACTACAGAGAATAAGTATGTGTGTGTATACGGATATGAAGAGAGAGTAAAATACAGTGGAACGTTTTCTCACTTGAGAAG